TATCAAAAAAGTTCCCAGGCTAATGATTAAAATACAACTAATATATTTACCTAAATTTTGATATCATCTCCTTCGAAATAGTCACCATGCGCAGCAATACACCGATCCCGGCGTTGCTGCTATTTTTGGATTCCGTCCTGGAAGTCGTTTTCAGTAAGCGAGTCGAGAACATTCTGTAATTCGCTGTGGATCTTGGCAACGGTGTTAAAACAGTGACTCTTAACCTACATTTCCAGCTTAGAGAATGGAAGGAAATCTGCAGGTGCTAAATATGGCGAATAGTGCCGGTGCGGTAGACAAGAACGGTGAAGCTCGGGCTATTGTTTAGGATTATCTCGAAGACATTTGACAAGGAATTCTGGTCCTCTTCACAAATTGAAAGGTTATTGTATTCCTTGACAGAATTTTGATCTAATTCAGTCTTTCTTATCAAATCGCGAAATGAAGGTTATCTTGAACGGCCATTCTTCTTAATCTTTTTACATTGTTGCAGGTGTCCCCTACGTCTAAATGATATGTCTGGTCGCTTCGATAACGCTAAATTGGCAGCTGTTCTAAAAAATAACCTACAATATTTTGTTAACTGGAACAGGATATAGCTTGTTAATTTTAACGCTCCAATTGTTTTCATTTAATCGTCTTATAAAACATTTCTTTCCTTCAATAAGCAAGGCTGATGCTAATCTTCAAGGGATTGACCCACTGCACCTTCTTGGGTTGACAATATAGTTTTTAGCTAGAAACTCTCGGATGGTTAGAGCTCGGTGACAGGGTGCATTGTTGTCGTGAAGAATCCAATCCACTCACGAAGTGAACAGAGCAATATATATCACGCAAGCACACTGGCGCATGAAAGTGACTGCTAGCTCTTACTGCGCGCTAAACCGCATATTGCCGTCCGCTGGCGCACTTTAGAACGAGTTCGGAATCTTTTTGATATCCCTTCATACTTTCGCTAATAGTCTTTCAACAGTGTAATCGATCTTAACTTTCAAAGAAAAAACGCTGAGGGGCTTCTTTGGATCTCAAAAATGGCCAATAAAAATTTCAACTTTTTCGATATTTAGCAGCGTAATATTATATTCCATAATATAATCGGTAACCACCTCAGAATTTGCTGGTGATTAACGATCCACTCTGGTTTAGTGTTACTGTTGATAAGTGAATTCGATCCTTAATCGGCCTTTCCCACACGTAGTACCTCTCCTTCGGGTGGGGGGTTATTACTTGGAGCCTGAGGCGTACCTAAAAGGAGAAGAGCCGAGAGAACATGAGCAATATTTCCACGGTATTACTGTTACACCCATTTTAAACCTCGACCTTGTGTCACATTCTGTAGCGACGTGGGGAGTGGCTAAAACCAATAGAGGAAAGATCATCAAAGCAATTACCATGCAAATATTTACAGACAAGACAAAAAATTTACGTTACGGCGGTGGGATGCCAGGTTAGGACCAATAACATTGCATATTGTTCTTTGGATTTTCTCAAGAATCTCTAAATAGCAGGAGCAACAGACCAGATGTTTAAATATACAAAGTGATTGAAAAGTGACTCTTTATTTTATGTATGAGTGGCCAGCCAGTCATGACTTAACACCCTGTAACATTTTTCTTTTTGGCATCGGTTAATAGAGCAAGTCTTCTATACAATAGAAAGGCTATGGAAGAACTTGAAGGTCGAATACAAGAAGTTATGCCTTCCATGCTACAAGAATTTCAGGTGAAATCAGTTGACGCGATTGAAATTCCTACGGTACATAGTGAGGAAAGTGGGCTTGGAAAATTTGATACTCACAGGACAGATTGAAGGCAAGAGACAGGGGAAAACAACGCATAACATACTTAGCGAGCTTGCGGAAATGACTGGTGGAACGGAGTTTAGGTGAAATAGTAAAAAGACAACATTTATTAAGAGCTACAAAGGCAGAAAATTGTGGAGAGCCATGATCGACTACGTCCTGAGGGGAAACGGCATATAAGAAAGATGAAATGAAGCATATATAAAACTTTGTGACACTGATACTGATCACAGATAGAAGTACTTTGTTGGTTTCGATAAAGACGGGAATAACGATAGTTTATTTAATTCGAAACTGTATATTTTCGGTGTTTGTGTCTGCGATAAATCCTCCCATCAAATCTCAAGATATTATATATGACAGACTCTGTAATCGAATAGTAAAAACCCATGGCTTAAATTGAGATTGCCTCGAATTGTATTACATTGTGGTTGCCATTTGTGTTCTGGGTGGGGTTGGGATTGTTTTCCACTATGTTCTGTTGCAACGTATCGCAAACTCCTCTGCTGTGAAGAGAATGCTGTCAAGAATACAAGGACCACTTTCAAGAGCAGGAACGAAATTTAACTGGGAATTGAGCGACGCTGGAGTAATTACCTCAACCAAACCGAATCACTTTATCTGAGATTCTTCAACGACAAAATGGGGGAATCTCTCGTCAGAGCGACAAGTCAAACGTCATCGTCTTGCGTTCCGTAAGAGAATTAAAGGGAAAACACAACTGTTTTATTTTTATTTATTTTTTTTTTCTGTTGTTTTACTTGAATTTTATGTTTTTCTTCTTTTTTTATGAATTCAAATGGAATGTTTTACTTAGTGAAACAAAATAAAAATTGGTTGGGGAGAGTGTAAAAGATGCTTTCAATCAATATATATATATATATATATATATATATATATATATATATATATATATATATATATATGTGTGTGTGTGTGTGTGTGTGTGTGTGTGTGTGTGTGTGTGTGTGTGTGTAGCAAATATAAATATGAAGAAAATATACGGAAAAAAACAAACAAAAATCCTAATATGCAATTATGCTGTTTTAATGTTAATATAATGTCAACGACGGACGTTTCGGTCTAGTAGACCATCTTCAGGACATATTCATAAAAAACATAATTAACATAATTGAATATGGTCTATGTTAATTATGTTTTATGAATATGTCCTGAAGATGGTCTATTAGACCGAAACGTCCGACGTTGACATTATATTAACATTAAAACAGCATCATTGCATATTAGGATTTTTGTTTGTTTTTTCCGTATATTTTCCTTCATATATATATATATGTATGTGTGTGTGTGTGTCTGTGTGTGTGTGTGTGTGCGTGTGTGAATATGAATATAAACGTATGTGCTTGAACGCTGTGTAAATTCTGGTGTCCATGCGTATATTTATGTTGCCATAGAGATAGATAGATAGATAGATAGATAGATAGATAGATAGATAGATAGATAAAGAACATATGACGACAGACAGATATGGTGTAACACATCTCGAAAGTAGGGGACATCCAGTGGGGATCGAATTCTCCAGTAATTGTTCTAGCAAGACAAACTTACTAACTATTGCCCAAATTCGAGGATACACAGATATGAACTGAGATAGATGGAGAGTTAGATGTGAACATACCTTAATTCATGTTCTTTTATTGTTCTCTCTCTCATTTTCTCTCTCTCTCTCCATCCCTCTCCCTCCTCTCTCTTTTCTTTTTCTCATTCTTTCACACTCAGTAGCTCCTTAGGTCTTAGTGGCTGTATTGTTTTGCATGAGGTGAAATGATAGATAGATAGATAGATAGATAGATAGATAGATAGATAGAAACAGACTGAGATAGATAGATAGATAGATAGATAGATAGATAGATAGATAGATAGAAAGAAAGAAACAGACTGAGATAGATAGATAGATAGATAGATAGATAGATAGATAGATAGATAGATATGAACAAATAGTTTTTATTTTCACGAGTACTTTCAGTCTCATATGAAACCATCATTAAGGGATTAAATAGTCTGTGTATGTGTATACGTATTTCTGTAAATTCAAGACATTTTACTGTTCGTTATTGTTCTATATCAATTTCAAATTATTTTTCAGCCCGCAAGGAAGGCAATTTTTTTATCTCTCAATTTTTACATATATATATATATATATATATATATATATATATATATATATATATATATATATATGTAAACTTTACTGCTACAAATATTTGAGAACTTTATTGCTATACTCGCAGTTGACTTTATTTAGTTTTTATTTTAATTCTCTTAAAATGGCTTCCAGGATTTTTAGGTTTTGCTTATTATTATTTAGATGTATTTTCAACTAATATATGTCTAAACTGTGAATGTGGGCATGAGTGTCCCTCTAAATGCTGTAAGACCGAACAATGCTCATCCAAGCGAAATGCAAACTTTCCCGTCAGATAGATATGAACAAACTGATAGATAGATAGATAGATAGATAGATAGATAGATAGATAGATAGATAGATATGAACAGACTGAGATAGATAGATATGAACAGACTGAGATAGATAGATAGATAGATAGATAGATAGATAGATAGATAGATAGATAGATAGATAGATAGATTTGTGTATTTGGGCAGCAAATTCTCTTTTAGGCATGTCTGATTAAATAAATTACAAACATTATGTCTGCTTATTTTTAGCACAATCCCTTCATATTCACAGATATGTTTCTGTGTATTACAATCAAATGATGAAAGAAATGCTCTGTAACAGTAAAATCACTTTTATTTACCATATAAATAAAATGAAATAAAAATAAAATAAATAAAATTTTCAGTTACAGCGCATCTCTTGCTTCATTTGATTGTAACAGACGGAAAAATATCCGTGAATATGAATGGATTATGCTAAAAATAAGCAAACATTATGTTTGTTATTTATTAATCAGACATGCCTAAAAGATAGATATAGAGAAATAGGCTGAGATAGATAGATAGATAGATAGATAGATAGATAGATAGATTTTGTCGCTTCAATTTCACAGCAAATAACCAGATGCTGGCAGCTGATCTCTTCCCTGATCTAGCTCTAACAGCTCGAATGAGGATGGGGAGGTGGGCTGACTGGTTATATTCAATGCTTCAAAAAACAGATTTGTGACGTTCCAGGATCAAGGAGCGGACACTGAATTTTCGCCTATCTCTCAGAAAGATGTACCGTGACAATGCAGCGCAGAACGTCAGATTTTGCAAATAAAAAAAATAAAAAAATGTAGCCTGCATTCATTTTTTACTAGCATTTGTTTCATCATAATTTCAGCTGCTTTTTATCTCAATTTTCTGAGACCGCCAGTGTGTAAACAAGACTGATCAGAAATAGTGAATAATCCTCAAGCCTCGAATTCAAACGTGTTTTTGCGTCGGGAAGTCTGCCTATACACAACTTCACTTCCGTTTCAGCTACACCTTTTGTAATGTACGGTGTGTTAAGATTGGGAGGAAACACCTAACACGTTGCTCTCCTAACAGCTATGAGTGTAATACGCAGAGACGTTAAGTAACAAAAATTAACACTGTCTCGAAAAGTACAGCAACTTTAGGAACAAAATGCCCACAGGACCGACTTGACAAGACACTGTGTCTTCTCAACTGCTGACTGCTGGTTTTCCTATTGCTTTTATTAGCATTAGGCATCTTACAAAGACCCGAATCTTGACCAATTACAGAAAGGCCTGTATCTAGACATGTCAAGCTGCCTCGCTGCTAACGGAGAAAACCCGGATCTTGATCAATTACAGAGAGGACTGTATCTAGATATGTCAAGCTACCTCGCTGCTAACGGAGAAAACCCGGATCTTGATCAGTTACAGAGAGGACTGTATCTAGACATGTCAAGCTACCTCGTGCTAACGGAGAAAACACGGATCTTGATCAGTTACAGAGAGGACTGTATCTAGACATGTCAAGCTACCTCGCTGCTAACGGAGAAAACACGGATCTTGATCAATTACAGAGAGGACTGTATCTAGATATGTCAACCTACCGTGCTGCTAACAGGAAAAATTGGATAATTATTGTTGACACACATGTCCACACGTGATACGGGGCCTCTTTTGCCTCTATACCGACGCGTGTTCGTCACATTACCAGAAATTTTCGGTAGACAGCCGATCAAGTCTAACACTTAAACTCATTCCTCATTCAGTGGAAAAAAAAAACTTAGCCCAAGAAGCCGCAAAGATTTTCTCTCTTGTTCAGCATCAGTTTGTTAATAACAGGCACAGACGCTTCTCAGTGGTGATCGTATAGGATTTAGTTTTGAATGTGATAAAATTTACAAGCCATTTTACAAGCTACCCTGTTAGCAGCAGGGTAGCTTGGCATGTCTAGATACAGGCCTCTCTACAGCTGGTCAAGATTCGGATATTTGTAAGATGCCTAATGCCAATAAAAGCAACGGGAAAACCAGCAGTCAGCAGTTGAGAAGACACAATATCTTGTCAAGTCGGTTCCGTGGGCATTTTGTTCCTAAAGTTGCTGTACTTCCCGAGACAGTGTTATTTTTATGAAGGCTGGGCAATTTCCGTGATTCTCGTAAAGGCTGTTCAAAATATTAAAAAAAAGAATCATCTTGTCTGGACAGCAGATAAATGTATCGGTAGCGAATGCTTGTTCGAAATTAGATTTTTTTTCTCCAGCCTCTGTCGCCATGGCAACAGCTAAGTGTCACAGATTCCAACTCCGACATTTTTTCTTGTTTTCGATATTGTTCTTTTTTATTTATTTATTTATTTTTTATTAGCGTAAGACATTTTTATCGTATAAATTCATTTCTCTATTTAAACATCTATTTTATTTTATTGCCTCTTTTATTATTTAGTTGTTTACTTTATTTGTAGAATTCATTTCTTCTCCTTCCATCTCAGTTTCTTTTCCTTTCGCTTTTCTTCTTTTCTTTTTTATTTCGTCTTTTCTTTCTTTCTCTCCATTTTTTTCTTTCTTTCCTTTTTTTTTATGTATCTTTCTTCCTCTCTTTTTTTTTTTCTTTCTTTCTCTGTTGTATCTTTCTTTCTCCGGTGTCTTTTCCTTTCTTAATTTTTTCTGTTTTTTTCTTCTTTTCCCTTCCTTTTTGTCTTTCTTTCTTCTTTTCTTCCTCTTTTTCTTATTGCTTTTCTTTTCTCTCTTTCGCATCGTATGTCTTTTCTTTCTTATTTAACGTCATTCTACCTCTATTCCTTGTTTTTCATTCGTCTTTTTTTTTTTTTGCTTCTCTTAATTTCCCTTTCATACTTTATTATTAACTCTCTCTCTCTCCCTCTCTCTCTCTCTCCCTCTCTCTCTCCCCTTCTCTCTCTTCTGTCGTCTTTTCTTCTTTGTTCTTCTTGCTTTCTCTCTGTTATTCTTCATTTTTTTGCTTTATTTTCCGTATTTTTCTTCATTCTTCCTGCTGTTTCTTTATTTCTGTTCTTTCTATCCTTATTTGTTGTTCTTTCTTTATTTTTCTTCATTTTTTTTTCTTTCTGTTATTATTTCTTCATTTTCATTCGTCCCTTCTATTTTCCTTCTTTCTTTCTTTCTTTCTTTACTTTTTCTTTCCTGTCTTTATTTCTTTTCAATTTCAATATTTCCCTTCTTTTCCTCTTTCTTTTTCTTTCTTTCTTTCTTTCATTCTTTCTTTGTTTGTTTTTCTTTCTTCCTCCGTTTTTCTTCTAGCATTCTGCCTTTCTCTCTTCCTTTTTCTTCTTCTTCTGTTTTTCTTCATGCATTGTGCCTTTCTTTCTTTCTTTCTTTCTTTCTTTCTTTTTCTTCCTCCGTATTTTCTTCTAGCATTCTGCCTTTCTTTCTTTCTTTCTTTTCTTCCTCCGTATTTTCTTCTAGCATTCTGCCTTTCTTTCGTATTTTCTTTCTTGCCTTTCTTTCTTTCTTCCTCCGTATTTTCTTCTAGCATTCTGCCTTTCTTTCTTTCTTTCTTTTTTTCTTCCTCCGTATTTTCTTCTAGCATTCTGCCTTTCTTTTCTTGCCTTTCGTATTTCTTTTATTTCTTTCTTTCTTTTTTCTTCCTCCGTATTTTCTTCTAGCATTCTGCTTTCTTTCTTTCTTTCTTTTTTTTTCTTCCTCCGTATTTTCTTCTAGCATTCTGCCCTTCTTTCTTTCTTTCTTTTTCTTCCTCCGTATTTTCTTCTAGCATTCTGCCTTTTTCTTTCTTTTTTTTTCTTCCTCCGTATTTTCTTCTAGTATTCTGCCTTTCTTTCTTTCTTTTTTTTCTTCCTTATTTTCTTTCATTTTCTTTTTCTTCCTTTTTTATTTTCGTATTTTAGCATTCTGCCTTTCTTTCTTTCTTTCTTTTTCTTCCTCCGTATTTTCTTCTAGCATTCTGCCCTTCTTTCTTTCTTTCTTTTTCTTCCTCCGTATTTTCTTCTAGCATTCTGCCTTTCTTTCTTTCTTTTTCTTCCTCCGTATTTTCTTCTAGCATTCTGCCTTTCTTTCTTTCTTTTTCTTCCTCCGTATTTTCTTCTAGTATTCTGCCTTTCTTTCTTTCTTTCTTTCTTTCTTTTTCTTCCTCCGTATTTTCTTCTAGCATTCTGCCTTTCTTTCTTTCTTTCTTTTTCTTCCTCCGTATTTTCTTCTAGCATTCTGCCCTTCTTTCTTTCTTTCTTTTTCTTCCTCCGTATTTTCTTCTAGCATTCTGCCCTTTTCTTTCTTTTTTTTTTCTTCCTCCATATTTTCTTCTAGCATTCTGCCTTTCTTTCTTTCTTTCTTTTTCTTCCTCCGTATTTTCTTCTAGTATTCTGCCTTTCTTTTCTTTTTTTCTTTCCGTATTTTTTCTAGTATTTTCTTTTCTTTCCTTTCCTTTCTTTTTTTTCCGTATTTTCTTCTTGCATTCTGCCTTTCTTTCTTTCTTTCTTTTTCTTCCTCCATATTTTCTTCTAGCATTCTGCCTTTCTTTCTTTCTTTTTCTTCCTCCGTATTTTCTTCTAGCATTCTGCCTTTCTTTCTTTCTTTCCTTCTTTCTTTTTCTTCCTCCGTATTTTCTTCTTGTATTCTGCCCTTCTTTCTTTCTTACTTTCTTTCCTACTTTTATTTTCTTTATTTCTTTCTCTGCTTTTTGCTTTCTATCTTTCTTTCTTTTCAATTTCAACATTTCTCTTCTTTTTTCTTTGTTTTCTTTCTTCCTCCGTTTTTCTTCTTGTATTGTGCCTTTCCTTTTTTCTTTCTTTCTTACTCACTCCCTTTCTTTCTTTCTTTACTTCTTTTATATTCTTTATTTCTTTCCCTTCTTTTTTTCTTTTCTGTCTTTATTTCTTTTCATTTCAACATTTCCCTTCCGTTCTTCTATATTTTACCATTTTTTTCCATTCTAACACTCGTGTTGGCATCAAAGAAAGATTTACGTATTCAACAAATTTTGACCAATTCAATACAACGAGCGATACATTTATTTCTTGATTTGTCAATTTGATAAATGTATTCAAATTTAACATTCATCGATTTGCAAATGTCTAACGATATGAGCCAGTATTAAAAGGCTTTTACCGCAAAACGATTGCTGGTCTAAATAACCAATCATTAGGGTAATGATTTAATTTTCAGTGTACTCTGAAGGAAATAGGCACTATCAACCGTAAAAAAGACAGAAGGTATGATTGTTAACAATAAAGGAGAACAGCTCAAGATTCGACCGACGAATAAGAAACGGTAAATTCAAGCAATTACAGAAATTTAACTATGTGGGAATTGCTTTAACAGAGAACAGATGATGTGGTGCCAAAATCCGAAGTTACATTCGACTAAGAGAATATGACGTGTAAAAGCTAAACACAGTATTAAAAAACTGGAAAAAAAAATTAACATTTTTTTTTTTTATTTTTTTTTTTTTTTTTTTTGTGTGTGTGTGTGTGTGTGTGTGTGTGCGTGCGTGCGTGCGTGCGTGCGTGCGTGCGTGCGTGCGTGTGTGTGTATAGAAAATAGGGAAGAACTCGTTAGGTAAATAATCCAAAGTTTTTTAGTATTTTTGTTATTATTTTTTTAAAAAATAGTGCTCGATACAAAAGTAGAGCATAAATATAATTATTTATTTAAAAATATGATTCCAATGCTACATAAGAGTTCTCATGTTTGTTTGTGGAATATATATATATATATATATATATATATATATATATATATATATATATTATTACAGTCACCACAATATCTCAGAGTTTTTATGAAGTATTAACTAGTCCCCACATGGACAGTAGAGGAATGTTTATCAGAACAATTATACAAAAAACACAGGGAAGCTATCTTACGACTGTGGTTTTTATAACATTATTGGACTCTACTTTGAACAATAATAAACTATTTAGCTCTAAATTGAAATGATGACCCCTCTTTCTGTTGTGATCTCCTGATCCAGTTTTCTTCTCTTCTGCTACCTCTTTTTAAAACTTATTCACCGTTGCTTTGATGGTTCTTGAGTAGATTTTGAAGATGGAGGCCGGAGTATGAATGTTGGCACTATTACTGAAAGCCTGAATGATCTTTATTGTTTCATCATTGTTCAATTGGGAAAACTTAGTCACGGTGACAAAAAAATAACGATTTTAACCTGTTCTCTTTCTAGCTGAATAATTCAAAGGGTTTTTCAGTGATTCTTACGATAAATGGTGTTAAGATGGCTGAACGTCTTATTTGAAAACATGGAAAAAAGAAACTCAATTACTTTAGTGTTTCTTTTTTTTTAGATATTAAACATTTTGTAGTATGGACAATTATCTCGTGCGGTTACAATTTTGCTTTTACACCAGGTATAGTGGAATCTCCAGACAAAGTATGACAGAAATATTCAATGCATGGATGAACAGTAGATTTATAAATACGCAACATGGATTCTGACAAAACTAGCACGAGACAGTAAATCAGCTTTCCTAGAAGTAGATCTAGCAATTGATTCAATATAATCTTTCCACTTCATAGAAAACGTGAATCCAAAAAAGATGCAAATTACAAATACTTTATCGCCGATTTTGACTTGACCTGATAATTAATGTACAATGTTAAAATCACAATTTTACTTACTCCATTGATGGTCTTTACAGCCAGGAGAGAGCAGGCTATATACAAAACTTTTATTCAACCATATTTCTTTCATATTGAAAATGAAAGGAGGACATTCCACTTAGCTTATGATCTATTGTTATATAGAACAGATTCCCACATGTATGCTTCAGTAAACAATATTTTCTTAACCTCATCCAGACAAATTTTTATCTATCCTCATTATCCTCACTGTTTTCACTTTATGCAAACTCTTATTTCATTCACAATATTCACCATAACAATGTTAGCAGTAACTCTCTAGCTTGTATTAAGGGAATGTTAAATGGATCACATCCAAAAATAAACTTAAAATGGGCCACATCCAAAAATAAACTTTAAGTGAACCACATCCAAGAATAAACTTTAAATGGATCACATCCAAAAATAAACTTTAAAATGGGCCACATCCAAAAATAAACTTTAAATGGATCACATTAAAAATAAACTTTAAATGGACCACATCCAAGAATAAACTTTAAATGGATCACATCGAAAAATAAAATTTAAGTGAACCACATCCAAGAATAAACTTTAAATGGACCACATCCAAAAATAAACGTTAAATGGGCCACATCCAAAAATAAACTTTAAATGGATCATATCCAAAAATAAACTTCAAATGGACCACATCCAAAAATAAACTTTAAATGGACCACATTCAAAAATAAACTTCAAATGGACCACATCCAAAAATAAACTTTAAATGGACCACATTCAAAAATAAACTTTTAATGGACCACATTCAAAAATAAACTTCAAATGGACAACTTCCAAAAATAAACTTTAAATGGATCACATCCAAAAATAAACTTTAAATGGACAACATCCAAAAGCTTTTGCCAACTGAACTAAACATTTCAGTGTGTGTATGTCTATGGATGTCGGTGCCTGTGCTTGCACACCGGAGCGTCTGTATGTGTGCTCATGTGTGTATGTTTATTGGCCAAATAACGATAAAACAAGCCATCATCTTTCTTGTGTAGTGCCGTACATCTGTAAAGAGAGATGTTATTTTTTTTCCGGGTGGATTCATTTTCTCGGGGCGATGACAAGTGGGGAATATACATGTAATGTGTGCACTTTGAATTTCTCTCTTCCGCGTGGAAGAAATGAAAGACATTTCAGAAGAGTTTTGGCAGTTTTATTCTGCGTTAAAAAAAAAGAAAGCAGTTCTTTTTCATTAATATAGTTCAGAGCTGGACAAACTTATTTTGTCTTTTGTGGCTTCTTTTGAGACTAACACATTTTAAGAGATTCATCAGTACCTCTGAAAAGCAATAGGAAATTGTAATTGAACAGTAAGCAAACATATATTAAAACAGTCAATGAATATATATTTAGAATAAGGCACTTCCACCTGGTGCAATGGTAAGCAAGTTTGTCTCGCTAGATCAGCTACAGCTGAGGAGTGAGTTCAGTCCTAACTGGGTTTCCCACACTTTCGGTGATTTTTCCACATCTGTGCTACGCTGAGATAATCAACTGTGTACCTTGACATGGTGTAATGGTTAGTAGAGTGTCTCGCTAGAACATTTATGATTGAGTAGTGAGTTCGATCCTCACTGGGTGCAGCATACTTTAGGTCTTGTACCACATCTAAGCTACGCTTAGAAAATCGCATTATATTTTAAATAAAAAAAAGTTTTTCTTCATACAATGGCTATGCTTATTGTTTTTGACACAATAAATCAAATCGTAAATTAATATTCGTTATAAATTGTCCCAAAGTTATGTCAAGATTCTTAAGAGTTTTGCAGCGTTTTGTTTTAAAAATATTCAATATTGAAGTTATTCAAGTTAACCCATAATTTATACTGCGAGTAAAAAGATCCTTTTCTTCGATATGCCGTGTCCCTTTAGGACTTTGGTAATTATTGCTCTAAAGAATTTCCTGTTCTTTGTTGGTCATAGTAATTTTTTTAAACAATCCCCAAACCTGTTCTGCGACCCAATTACACAAGCTCGATAGGTGAATAATGTGATGTTTTCTTCAGTCTCTATTGCCTTCGCTATGTCCTTTAAGTGACAAATTCTCCAAGCCCTCGGGCCTCGTTGTGTGACCTAGAAATTTCAATTATCTCTTTCTCATTCTAAGGAAAAGTTACCTTTTTACTTCTAATTTTACTAAAATTCCGTGGCTGTCCCACAGGTTCGGCCCATGGTATTCTCGGCACCCTTCTGTAGAACTACATTTCAGTTGCCTCAAGTCACTTCTTACATGTGAAGAGATTGTTCACTGCCATATAGGAGAACTGATATTGCGTAACAGTTCAGTACTCTTCTTCTAACGAAACTGTGATAAAATAAGTGACATTACTTGCGTGTGTGTGGGTTGCGGTCAGATGTGGGTGGCGTAGTGTTTGCCATGCTTGTTTTCAAAAGCGAAGCCGTTCCAAGCTCTGTTTTTTGTAATCGTTTTACCGGAAGAGGTGGGATGCGTAGGTCTGCCAACTTGTTATTTAAGGCCTGCCTTCCCTCCCTTTTCTACTTTTCCCTTGTGAGAGGCATTTATGAGAACAGAGTCGTGTGGCACCATGCATACCTAGCGAGCTGAAAAGAAATATTCATAAATATATGATTTGTTTTTTACGGTTTGTCAACCATTTGATAATTATTTAGAGCTGAAAAATATTTCGGGTTTTAGGAATAATTCTTTCTTTGCGTTCAAGCGATCTGGAATAAAGAAAAAAAAATAATACGAAAAACAGGTCATAAGCGAGCACACACACGCTCGACTGACAGATACCAGATGTCAAAAATATCAGGTCAAGCACCTGACCTACTTCCGTGTCCACGAAAAATGGAAGTTTGTTATCAAATGGTTGAAGAAACAAAGTTTAGGGACAATGGAAAAAAAATATGATAGGTAACAGGTGGGAAGTGTATCTAAGGATATGAAGACAAACCATTAATACGAAAACACAGACAATTTCCAGAATTGGAAAAAAGCCACACAAGATGATGTTGGCTGAAAATGTTTTTTGTTCCCCCCCACCCTAGCGGGCAGGAGAGGCCAGCTCGTTTGGCCGAAGTGAAGCAGCTCGTTTGGCCTAAGTGGAGACGTTGGAATCAGAGCAAGCTGAAGAGAAGAAGTTAATTCGCGTACTGACGGCGGAGATGAGTGACCAGTAATTCAGACTCTGAAGAGAAGAAGTTGGAGAGATCAGCCGCGGACGGCGAGCGGATTGGAGTTTGAGCCGTGAGCGCCCAGTGTTGAAACCGCGTCAAGATAGCTGACCAAGATTCACGCACACTTCTGGACTCTTCTTCAACCAAGAAC